GGTTTCTATATAAGTTATTGTTGGTTACTTCTAGAATCTTATTCTTACAGTAAGATTCGTGATGCAGACAATTGTTCTTATACAAAGACTGCAGTTCTCAATACAAGCCTAAAATTCTATAAATCTGGAAGTTATTTTTTATTCTTTCAAGATTTTCGTTCTTATCCCAAGAACACTACATTCTTATCTGCTAGAAATAGCTTCTTACTTCATCTCACACCCAGAATATATTTCTTCTGTCAAGACCAAAATTCTTGTGATACCTAGAAATAGATTAAGATTTATGTTCTTGCATTGCACTAAAAGAAGATTTTTTTCTTGTGCAAAGAACTTTTTACTGTCAGCAAAAACCTTATTCTTTGAACAAGAATCCCCGTTTCCAGAAAATTCAATAAACTCACGCCACGTTGTTCTTATTCTCAGAAATTTTTTTCTTATATTATACAGCTAATAAACCCATACTTAAGAATATTCTTCTCATGATAAGAATTACGGGTTCTTACACGAAGAATCTCTATCTTGTTCGCAGGAAAATATTTCTTGAACGAAGAGCTAACTGTTACACAAGAAAATATTTCTTGAACTAAGAGCTATTTGTTCTTATAGCAAGAAAACCATTCTGCCCACAAGAAAATATTTCTTGAACTAAGAGCTAACTGTTCTTGTAGTAAGAAAACCATTCTGTAGACAAGAAAATATTTCTTGAACTAAGAGTTAACTGTTCTTGTAATAAGAAAAATATTCTGTATATTATAACAAAAGATTTCTTGAACTAAGATCTAACTGCTCTTTTAATAAGAAATCTATTCTGTAGACAAGAAAATATTTCTTGAACTAAGAGCTAATTATTCTTGTAGCAAAAAATCATTCTGTATACAAGAAAACATTTCTTGAACTAAGAGCTAACTGTTCTTATAGTAAGAAAACCATTCTGCACATGAGAAAATATTTCTTTAACAAAGAGCTAATTATTCTTGTAGCAAAAAAATCATTCTGTATACAAGAAAACATTTCTTGAACTAAGAGCTAACTGTTCTTATAGTAAGAAAACCATTCTGCACATGAGAAAATATTTCTTTAACAAAGAGCTAATTATTCTTGTAGCAAGAAAATCATTCTGTATACGAGAAAAAATTTCTTGAACTAAGAGCTAACTGTTCTTAGGCCACACCAATTTAATTTGTTGGTTCTCGGATTCGCCTCTTCGTTTTTTCTGATTTGCAAAAAAAAAATGATTCTGGTCCTGAATCAACTAAAAAATGCTCATGTTTTGCCCCCCAACAGTTGAGTCCTTTTCTTCATAGTTGTTACAGTTTTCCCATCTATCATTGCAGTGGTTTGATTAAAAGTTCAAAATTCAATGTTTAAATTTTAACCCAGCCTTTTGTGTTGACTTCATGGCTCATCTTGTAGCATTTAAGCCTATGATAGGATGCCTAGACCTGTTTTTATTTTTATTTTTTTCGCCCTGTCGCTTCATATTTTTTCTGTAAAAAATCCGAGAACCAGCAAATTAAATTGGTGTGGCCTTATAATAAGAAAACCATTCTGCACATGAGAAAAGATTT